TTATCAGCTAACAAGGCCAATTTCAGTACAAAGATAAAATTCTGGATTTAGGAATGAAACCCCTGAGCCCATTCATAGATAGTTAGGTTTGGGAGCCGTATAAGGAAGTCTAAGCTTTTGCTCTTTAAATCTTATTTTGCTTGTCATTGATGCCATATCTCTTTTTATGCCTCAAATTCTTGCAGTCATTAGTAGTGATACAAGCCTCAAAAGTACGTTCCTGGCTCAATCACTTCTTAATGAGGTCCCCTCGCATCAGCAACACTTCCATCCCCCCCTGTGCTTTTTACCTGGAGCTGTAGTCTTAAAATTACTGTGATGTTTGTGGGTAGATTCAGTGATTCTGTCAGAATAACACAGATGCAGCTTTTAACCTGAGTGTTTATTGTCTTGGAACAAAATCAACAGGCTGATTGCTTCTCTGCTTCTCATTCTGTCTTCTCTTCATCTCAGCTACAAATGAAGGAGAGTGCCCACCCGTGAGTTGTGGGACGACATATTTTCGAAGCAGCAAAAGCCAAGGGGTGGCAGAGTTATGAGCCTTGGAAGACCTGGCTGGTTCTTCTCCTGGTGCTGCCATCAACCCCGGTTTAGGAGGTAAGCTCTTCTCTGACACTTTCTTTTCCCTCCCGCCCTCTACCAGCCCTGTCGTTTGCACTATCTGTCCTGAGACAACCTGCCAGGCCCTGTTGTTTTAGGCAGAGCTTAACCTGAAAGCCCACCCACCGAGCCCTCCTCGAACTTGAGCTGGTGTCAAGGCATACTAGAGGGTTGCCAATATTAAAATATTATCTCTGGCCACGCAGAAATGCCAGTAAAAACCTCTAGTGCAGACCTAACAGTACTGAAGGCGCTTCCCACCACTGCCTTTAGCTGCACTCTAATGTCATATCAGTTAAGATGAATTTAAAAAAATCTCTCTTGTTGTGAACACAGTACCGCTGGGCTCCTGGGAGCCACGATTCTCCCCAGTGGGTTTGCAGGGTGGTGGGAGGCAGAGTTGGGCGCCGGGTGAGACGGGCTTCAGAGACCTGCAGAGACAGGGCAGAGGTAAGCAGAGGCTGAGGGGATGGAGATGGGGGAAACGGCTGCAGTGACAGACAGGAGTGTTTTTCCCTCTCACCAGCAGCACCCAGTGAGGCTCCGGGCAGAGGCACCCCACTCCTTCGGGGCGGGGAGAGGTTTTGCCTGAAGCATCATGCGTGGAACATTCTCCATTAAGCCATGCTTTGTGTTCAAAAGACCTCTCTCTATGTTACGTGTGTGGCTACTCAAACTGAGCTCTTCAGACCTCTTTCCTGCAGCCAGGCTCCCATTTTGATCATATCAAGGCTGTCTGTTTTTAATTTAACCCTTCCTTTTTGAGTGGATTTGTCTTGAAAGGCATAAAAAGGCTGGGCTCCCAAGCTACCTTACCTCTTCAAGAGCCACGGGAAGGTAAGTGCATGTATTTTCAAACCGCACCAAATTTGTCCCTAATGCAACACACTGAAATAAAGCTACTAACATCAATGTAGCTGCACCAACCTTTTAAATGACCCCCCCTAGGTTTTAAGTCAAATAAATTTCTGTTTTCCTGGGCAAAATTTCCCCATAATAACTTTGAATGATCTTAAGTGTGCAAGTAATGACAACTGGTGTTTATGTAAGCAAAGCACAGTGTATTATGTATGTTATTAAATCATGAAAGGGGTGCGTATATGGGGGGGGATACGCGTGCATCGCTACCAGCAAAGTTTATAAGGCTCTTTGAGCATGTAGAAATAATTTTATTTTATTGAAGAGACAATGAACAAACTCCACAGTAGTGTGGCTACCTGGCTTCACAGATGCGTGCCTCTGGGGGAGGTCTGAATCGTTTGGGGCTGCAGGCTGAGACATTACTCTATCCCACGAGGTGTTCAGGGTGAGCATGCAAGAGCACAGCGTCGAGGGGCAATTCTGGTCCCCCCAACCATGGGAAAGAAAACACACAGTGAGTAAATCAGCCGAACCTGCGGCTTCTCCCTACCTTGCACTGACCCCAGTCCCTCTCGTTTCCTCTCCTAAATGTGTCCATCAGCCCAGCGAGACCTCCGCTTCTGCCCAGCTTTGGGGTAGTTTCTGCCAAAACTGGGGAAAAACTGTGGGATCACCCCAATGGGGGACCCCAATCCATTGAGAGGGGGCTGCAGAGGGTCTCTTTGGAGACCTGACTCACCCATGAATTTGGAAGCAAATGGAATTGTGTATGTACACCAAAATACAGACGCATATCCGCTTGTGTGCACATGCCTGGCCAGCCAGGAAAAAGGGCTGATCTGTGAGCCGGGGGTGCCTCAGGGAGGACCGAGGGTGCAGCTGAGGCTGGGAGTGATTTGGGGGTCCCCGGGTGAGATCCATACTGTTGGGTCCTGATCACTGTGGAGACCTGCAGGGCCAAAAGGGGAAAAATAGGTTAAGAGGCTTTTAGGGCGAAGAGGCAACCCTGCCAACAACACCCGCCGATGGTGGGAAGCACCTGGCACCCCCTTCCTGTCACAAAAAGCCATGAAATACTAAATTTTAAAAATCCCTGGACTGCAGTGGAGAGGTTCCCCCCTCTTGGGGGTTACCTTCTTTTCAGGGGGCTTCTCCACAGGTGCGGGGTTATCACCTCTGCTTCTTGCCCTTGAATTAGCATCAGGGAGAGGCTGTGGTGCCCAAAATGCCACTGCCCAGTTTGGGGATGAGTTTTGCTGCTGTTGCTGCAAGGTGACACCAAGTCAGTGGCCCCATTCCCCCCTCCCCAGCTGTACCCTAAATAAAGAGGGACACCCGAAAAGCAGCCCCTCCCGATGCGGTTATCAGGCAAGCAAGTTCTTGCCTGAATCCTAAAGCTGTGATCCAATCTGGCTGAAGCAACACGGCTTTAATCTTTCAGATCTGCTTTAAATATGTATATAAATATATACCCCAGTGCTGAGTAAAGCCCCAGCCCTCCCGGAGAAGTAATCTCAGCTGATGAAATGGCCAGTCAAGCGGCTTACACGCCCCTGGCTGCGCTCCCTCCATTAACAAGTCGGGCATTAGACCCGTTTCATCACTGTTAATTCATTTGCTTACTCATTTGCTCCTCAGAGAAAGTTGTTAGCCTGTTGTATGTATAAACCCCCGGCCAAAATCCCGGGCTGATGCAGAAATGGGCGTTTCAGGAGGGGATGCTGCAACAGAAACAGACCCTTTTTTTTTTTTTTTCTTCTTTTTATTTTTTTGGCGGGCAGCAGCGGGAAGGGTGCCTTCCCCCCAGCCCCGCGCCTCCCGAAGCGCTCTCGCTTCGGTGCAGCTCTGCACCCGCATCCGTACTGTGCGGCACGGATGTATAGACAGATACATATATCCATGTCGCTTAAGTGCGTGATGAGCGCAGCGGTGCCCGCCCGCGCGTGGGCACTACACGTGTAAAACGAAGTGTGTGCGTGGCCGCAACACGCACCGCCTGTATACATAGAGAAAAATCCTCCCGTGGGTTTTCCCGGTGAGACGGGGAGCTCTCTGGTCCCCCCTGAGTTTTGGCCCCGTGGAACTGATGAAGGAGCCGCATCTGTATTTTTAAAAGCTTCCTCGCGTTATAAATGGTTGCTCTTAAAACCCCCAGCGGGCGCGACCCCCTGCTCTGCCCGCCGTGGGCTGCCCGTGCCCTCGCCCACGCGTGATTGTGCCCGGCGGCGGCGGCGAATAGACGGCACCGCTGGAAAACTCGGGCGCTCCGAGTTCCAGGTTCATTAAGACCCGACGATTGCCATTTCTATTCTTTTAAAGGTTTTTTTCCTCATCTATTTACCATTTACCAGCTCATCCATATGGAAGACATGGCTTACACTTCCCTGAGAACTGTACTTTTAGGACTAATTGATTCTGGTAATTAATTTGTTCTACCTGCTGGATCAGATGGAAATGCTGTCCGTGTGCCCAAGGATTAGCACTTGCCTTTCTAACATCTTTCTTAATTATCTAATAGCATGGGTTGCGCGAATTCTGGCTCTATTAGAACACTTTTACTATTAACGGTAGTGATTGGAATTGTGATGACAACTCGATTTCAACAAATTAGAGCTTAAAATCAGGAGATGAAGGAGAAGTGCCTTCTTTTAATTTCCCTGAGTTTAACATCAATAATTAGAGCAATTTTCTGAGATGCGAACCGAAATTATCTCAGCTATGATGTGGTATATCACCCTCATTTTAGCAAATTGACTCCGGGGAAATGAATGTTACAGATTAGGAGGGGGGAAAAGAAAAAAAGGCAAACAGAGGAAAGACCAAAAAAAAAAAAAAAAAGTGTTAGCACAACA